AAGATTTACACTTGGGAATGGTATGCACCCATGTTTCCAGGCTTCCAGTCTGCCTTGCAACTTGCACAAGGTGTGTATGGGGGTGTGGGGGTGTGGCCTTCCTACCCTGCCCTTTTATCTTAAATTCACTTCAGTAAGTTTCAGGTGGATTTCTGATTGTTGTCCTTCTTACTTTAAAGGCCCAGAGAGAACCCCCTTTATCTGAGCTTCCCAGAATAGCTCCTATAACCACTTCCTTTGGTTGTTCGGGCAATCCCATTAAGTCTATTTCAGGGCCACACTCTTCAAGAGACCTCTTTTTCTCAGAAAGGCCATACCCAGCAATTCTTTTGCCTCTTCATTCAGAAGTAATCAAACTGGGTGCTAGATACTGTGAGGGATCCAGAGATAAATCATATTTAGGTCCTACCTACAAGGAGCTTGTAAACCAGAAAGGGAAATATGATAGGACATACACATAAATAATGATCATATAAGATAATCTGGTGAAGGCAGAAAGAGGTGCAGATCAAGGGCCCTGAAGGTTCACAGGAAGGAGTGATCACGTTCGGATGGGGATGTTTATTTAAAAAAAAATTTTTTTTTTCAACGTTTATTTATTTTTGGGACAGAGAGAGACAGAGCATGAACGGGGGAGGGGCAGAGAGAGAGGGAGACACAGAATCGGAAACAGGCTCCAGGCTCTGAGCCATCAGCCCAGAGCCTGACGCGGGGCTAGAACTCACGGACGGCGAGATCGTGACCTGGCTGAAGTCGGACGCTTAACCAACTGCGCCACCCAGGCGCCCCTCGGATGGGGATGTTTAGAGAAGACTTGTGGACAGATGGCTGTTAGTTGAGCATTGGAGAAACAGCCTTTTTGTGATGGACCTTGATTCTTCTCTTTCTAGCTTTGGAAAGCAAACTGTTTTTAAAAAAGCAGGTAAATTAATAGGTATTGGGAGTTGAGATTACCTCTGGCAACAACCATTCTATATACTTCATCTGATCCTTATGTCTTTATTAAATAGTTAAACATCTTATTCAGGTAGTATGAAGTAATTAACATGAATGGTAAATCTAATACTAATAATTAAATCTGGGAAATTCTATGCTGCGTGTCTCATGAGTGATCTAAAGCTAATACATCTTGATCTTAAGGCAGTTTTGTTGTCAACTGTGTATAAATAGCTTTGTCCTGTGATGAGATAGCAATTTAACATGGAATAAAAAGGATCCTGGAATATAAATCTTTCTTACTTTTTAACATACCTTCTCTCATTACTCTAGAAAATGAATCTGGCATGTATTTCATGAGCTGTAAATGTTATGAATAGGCTACTTCTGTAGCAGAATCAACTCAGTGGCAATTAATGCATTAATTATTAAAATCAGAAATAATAAGATTAAGGTCAGTTTATATATTTTTTTAACTTGTTGGGGTGTTTGGTGAGCAAAATGCTGATTAGGTTTCGTTATTTTAATCCTGTGCCTCAGTGGGAAAATATTGAGAACACCAATTTGTTCTTATAAAATCTGTTGCTTGAAATTTGGTCTAATTTCTTTTCAATTAATTTTTTTTGAGAGAGAGAGAGAGAGAGAGAGAGAGAGAGAGAGAACGAACACACACTGGAGGGGCAGAGAGAGGGAATCCCAAGCAGGCTCCACACTGTCAGCATGGAGCCCGACATGGGGCTCAAACTCAGGAACCATCAGATCGTGACCTGAGCCAAGTTCAAGAGTCAGATGCTTAACTGACTGAGCCACTCAGGCACCCTGAGATTTGGTCTAATTTTTAAAGCCCTGTGTAATGACCAGATCTGCTTTAATGAAAACCTTTTGAATGAAAGTAGTCACCTTTTCTTGGAATTTACAGTAACAAAGAGGTATTAACAGAATTACCTACTCATCATCTCTGTGCAAAGATGCTACTTGATCTTAGCCAAAAGGCCGAGAAGCAATCTCTGTGCAGAGATGCTAGAAATCCTGCTCCTAATGAGATCTTCTGTTTCTGATGAGAATACCTGTGGTTTTGAAGTCAGAAATTTATAAAAAGAGGTTTCTGGATGGAAAAATCATAAAGCCTATAACTCTAAATCCAAAGCTCAAGTGGAACTTTGAAAATAAAACCTAATGTAAAGAACAGTGAGAGCTGTTCAAAGATGGAAAAGAATGCCTTATCAGCAAGCCATTTTCCCAAAACTGAGGAAGGAGATACTCATATTGAAGTTGAATGACCACTTGGGATGGGATTGAGGAGGTTTGGCAGAGGTTGGAGTAGAGCAGTGTTTTTAGATAGGTGGGCCTTGGCGGCTTTTGATGTCCTTTTTTTTTTTTCTTTTTTCAGTCCTAAACTTCTGTGATGCAATAGAATACAAAGGACATTATTATTGACTATATTTTGCCATTGTCTGTGATTTTCTAATGCCGATGGGCATCTGAAGTTAGATATTTAACCTTTAGTACATTTTTCAATTCTAGAAGTATTTGACAACTTCTGTTTTGTACCTAACCTTCACTCCCAGAAGTGTGTGGCTCTGAGCCAGCCAGGTTCATTGATAATCTATTGACTGCACAGATGTTTGGGAACTGATCATACCAGCACATCCTTAGTTGGGATAGTTCAAAATTTAAAAGCATACTGTCCACAGACAGAATTTAAAGATGCTTCTTGAATTGAGCACCTTTGTAATGTTTGTGGGAACAGATCACAGGACAACCAAAACTTGTTACCAACTTTCTAAATCTCACAGACCTTTTGCACTCAAACTGAATCTACCAGTCACTAGCAAGTATACAAAAATATCACACTGGCAATGGTTCATCTTCCTCCTTTGACTGTAGCAGTTTGTGTGGCAAATTTTGCTAGATCAGGCCTATCCATGGATCCATACAATAAAAAGTTAGATTCTTTTTTAAGTTTTTTGATACTTATTTTTATTTCTGGAAAGATTTTTTATTCCATTTTAAAAGGTTACATACAGTCTTCATTGTCCTGAGTACCTTGTAGATATCTGTTAATAAAAATAGACTTCTCTAGGGGCGCCTGGGTGGCTCAGTCGGTTAAGCGTCTGACTTCGGCTCAGCTCATGATCTCACGGTCCGTGAGTTCTAGCCCCGCGTCAGGCTCTGGGCTGACAGCTCAGAGCCTGGAGCCTGCTTCAGATTCTGTGTCTCCCTCTCTCTCTGCCCCTCCCCCGTTCATGCTCTGTCTCTCTCTGTCTCAAAAATAAACAAACATAAAAAAAATTTAAAAAAAATTTCTCTAGATTACTTTGATTTCTTTGTTCTCAGTACATCTAAGAGAATAGTGTATAGGCCATGTGCATACAATGATGAATGAAAATGTCATGGGAGCTGAGTTGAGAGGACCATACTTGGTTATTGAGGACTAAAGATTTAACTAGTCGTTTCAGCTGTGATTCAACACTCTTCACTTTAATTCCTTCCAGAAACTCCAGGATCATATTGCTTCCTAGTACTTAGAGTTCTGTTGATGTATGGAGCTGCTTGTTGGCCTCCACCACCAGAAATTGGCTCCAAATCTTTTCCCATTACATCATCACCCACTAATGTCATTACACCAGAGTGAAATTTGCTTTGAAGATTGTACTCTTGTTTTCCTTCCATTTCTTTCCTCTCATCATTTCCTTTAGAAGGAAAAAGAAAAAAAAAAAAAAAA